CGGTGATATATATATATATATATATATATATATATATATATAAAAGGAGTATTCTGTAAGGATATTGGTTGTTGGTGCCATTTCTTGCAATCTTGATTAATTTATCATAATAACCATGTCTAAAATCCAAATTGGTTTTGAATTAGATTATAAGTTGATATATGAGATTGATTATTTCAATTTTATATTGTTTTATCTTAAATTCCAGTTAAAATAGATTGATGAAGTTCAAATCCAGTTCGAGTTAAATGTTGAATTAATAAAGCTTTAGATTGATTTATTAGATAATTTTGAGTTTAATAACAATAATAAGCAATTAAAAGATTAAAGATAAGATAATAATAATTAAAATCATTTTAGGACTTTATTGTTCTTGTTATGATCGGGTAATGATGATAGAAAGCTCATGCTTTTGAAGTAAATCAATTGCTTAAGCGCTAAACCATGCCATTTTTTTCTAGCTAGTGAAGTCATTCAAGAGAGATTTTGAATTGAAACAAAGAAAAAGGAAAGGAAAATGATGTATTGATGACTCGAAATTGAAAATGACAAGCATAAGAGGCTTAACAGAACAAAAACAGTTCGTATATACAAACATTATATGAACATAAATCATCATCTTTGCTTGTAAGTGTGATTGGATACAAGAAACTACATGAAGACAAGGAAACTAACATGGAGATCCAATTGTTATTTAAAACTTTGCCGTCTGGCTATTTTGAAGTACGTGACTTCGTGTTTCCTTGTTTTTTTCTCTTAGATGACAAAGGCAGGACTCTGCCGCCGCCACCCCCATCTCCTTCCCACCACCACCCATTTAGCTCCTCAAGATGAGAGGGACCATGACCAAATCCAATACACCACCAAAACATTCAATTGGGTTTTTGATTAGCATAAATATGTTGGATTTTCAATGGTTAATTATGACTTGATTGATTACAGACTAGCATTGTTTTCTGGAGTGATGTGATGGTGACCAAGTTCATCTTTTTGATAGAATTATTTCCACTTTATTGTTTGTTTTACTTGGGCTCATGGATTAGAAAGTTTTGTTCTTCGTTTTCCTAATGCAAAGAAGATGGGGAAATCATATTTGGGCTAGGCTGCTGGATTGAAGAAGTATCCAGGTCCCAACTAGTAGAGAGGCTCAGGTAGACACAAACTTCCATCTTACTGATGTGCTCAGGTTTGTTGATCTAGATTGAACTATTCATAGAGAAAAGCGGTAAGTGCATTGACCTGAATTAACTCTAATGAAATTATATATATTTTTTATTTTATAAAAAATAAAATTATTAGTATTTTGAAGAAAAAATTAATAGTTTTTAACTGAATTTTTTTCTAAATTTACCATAATTCAAATCAATCTAGATTTTTACCGAGTCAACTCTGTTTTTTATTATTGTTGGGACTCAGCATCACGGGTCACCAGATCATCAATCAGCTCCATGTTAAAGTTAGGTTTTAAAACAATGGAGATAAACATAAGTACTTAAGAAAATTAACTAGAGACAATGTTCTAGTGGGCTAGCCTCAAGTTTCAAATCAAGGGCTCAAAATGTCAACTTTGCATAAGCCAGGAGGGCTTAAATCAGGGGGTCGAACTTGCTAGAGGTATCGTGGTTTCAAGAATTATTGCACCAAACAATTTGATTTGTGGTAAATCACTATTCCAAATCATTCCATTCTCAAATCCTTTCTTTATAAAAAGGATGAATTTCTAATTTTTTATAGGTATGATCGATTATTCTGGGTATAATAGTAGATGTCCAATGTCATGTTATTAATAATAATAATAAAAAAAGTCTCTACCTTTTCTTTCAATTATTATGGGTATAATTGTAGATGTTTTAGACCACGTTATTATTAAAAAAATTCTGTATTTTTCCTTAGTTCAAATGATGCCTTAAGAAAAAGCACAATACTCAACTTAAGCTGGAGTAATTGAATAATGATTATTAAACCTGACTTGAAGTTAATTTAGTTAAGAAAATAATTTTTTGGATCCAGGATCATACAGTTTAAATAAAATTAAAAAAAAAATTAATCTCATATAAAAAAATTAAAAAATAATTTATATAAATTAAAATTAAAAAACAATTTATGTGAAAGTAAATTTTTTTTTTATATATATATATAACTATTACACATCAAAAAGTTTAGAAACATTTCATGTTAATATAAGCTATAAAAAATTTATGTGAAGCTAAATATTTATAAATTAATTTTATTTTTTTTGAATTTATTAAAAAATATAAAAAGATCATGTTCCACTTAGTTCATGCTAAATCATCCAGGTTCTGGGTTAACCTAACTAATCTCAAGTTTATTTTTAATTTATTTAAAACTTAGCTAAAAATTTAGGTAAAGTTTGATCAAGTTAATTATAAATTTAAGTTTTACTTATTTAAAAGTTGACTAATATTTAACATTATGGAATAACTTGTCGGCTAAGTAATTAATTTTTATAAGTTTTCAGGTTTTATAATTACGATTCATGAAAAAGTTTAATTTAAAATGATATGTAGATTAAAGTGGAATATATTTTCATGCTCGAAAGCTTGCATTACTTGAAGATTTCAAGAGGTAGAATCTCTCAAGTGGAAGAAAGATTGAAAGGTACTTAGCCCACAAAGTTATCCCTTTTCACAACTTGACATGTACCAAAAACTATGAATTAATTAAGCTGAAATGGCTATCCTGCGCGGGATGCTAATCTTTTCTTGAAACCCATAAGCACATGGAAGAAAACAATATAATAATAATGGCAACCTCCCTTGATACCAATCTTCTCTTGAAAAATCCATAAAGCAGCCGCCCAGTTCACGAAATGGACAAAGAACCTATACCTAAACGTTCTGATGGTGTTCTTGACTAATGTGTCCACTGCCCTCTGCACGAAAACTAATTACCATTCCTATTTATCTGCAATTTTTTATTTTTATTTTTATTATGCCCATTAATATACAAATTGCAAGACATGAAATTCTTCATTAACAATTCATTTTTTGATAAATGAATTTTGTAAAATTATTATTCAAACCAGACCTATCCCTTTCTCTGTACAAATATATATAAAATATATATATATATATCAAAGTTGCTAGCTTTATTTAAAACCAAATGCTCTACCTACCATTAAAAGGGAATACTTTTAAAAAGTGTTTTATAATATAATATTAAACACACACTAAGTTAGTAAGCTAAATACAAATAAAATAATTATGTTATCTAGATAGAACTGAAATAAAAAAATTAAAATAAATAAATAAATAGATAGATTGAATCATAAGACATAATCAAATTAAATATTAAACTAACAATAAATATTGAACATGAAATGAAACAAAACTAAATAAATTCTAATCCATTCTGAAGAACAGATAAAGAATAAAAAATGAAATTAATTAAACATGTTTAATGTTTTGAGCTTTAACAAAGGTGGGATGCTTTTTTTGAATCTCGAAACATTTTTGGCAGTTATTTCGGTTAATTAAAATGAGTCTGGTTAGGTTGGTGAATGAGGTTATTTCTGTAATTAGAGATGTATGGGAGAGAACTTAGGAATACAGGGAGGAGGAATGTTTGTAAAAGGAGAAGGAATCTCCCTCTGACAATCAACTACGAAACATCCCTACCATGATTTATCCTTAAAAGAAAGACACAGGCGTTCTCTCCTTGTCTCCTCCTCCCTGCCTCTCTTTCTGTGCAGTTTTTCTAGTATAGTTTGAAGCCAGCATGGATATCCCAGAAAGGGTTCTCCAATATAGATATCACTTTGCCATAGCCATCACTGCTCCACTTGTTCTTTCCCTGCTATTATATGCTGCTCCCAGGCTAATCACCGTTCTTGCTTACTTCTGGCCTTTATTTGCCTCCACAGCAGTCTTCTTGATACTGGTCATTGTCTTTGGTGGTGTTTCACAGTTGCAGGCAACAGATCATCATCATGGTGAAAAAGCAGGTGAAGGGCTTCTTGATTATGTTGCGGGGCAGCCAGAGAGTACTGGTGATTGAGCAATCACAAAAATAGGAGTGAAGAAATGGTTTCAGTCTTGAGTTCAAGAGCAGGACTATATGAGGTCTAATCTAGTGCCTGTTGGATGATCATGGAGAACATCTGCCAATGTATATGCCGAAGTTGTCTCGAGAAAGTTGAAAAGGAGGAGGAGAAAGCAGCTTGAAGATGTGAAATCCAATAATAGTAATAATAATAATTGTAAAGATATGTTCTTTTTATGCATCTAACTTCACTTATATCTCCTTTTAGCACCTCAATTTCTTTTTAATATTTTAAAAATTCTTAAGAACAGAAACACCTTCCTGATTAACTCAAACTTAATTAAAGAAATCTATTTTAATATATGTATTTTCAGACAAAATTAAGTTTGAAAAATGATTGTTTCGCAACCTGTTTCTCTACATTAAGAATGAACACCTGCCTTAGCGTGATTCTATTTTGTGTTGAATAAGAGTTAAATATTTTAGTGTTTAGTGTTTTCAATCATGATAAAATAATGCTAATCTGTATCTTCAATTGTGAGAAATTGCCCAAACAAGACGTTGAGCACTAGCTTCTCTTCGCATATTTAGAATATTAAATTTATTTCTATTTCCATATTAATTTATTCCATTTTTAATTTTTTAAGGTGTATGTAACTGGAAATGATGAGTTGTCGCCATCTTTTGTGTTTAGTTATAAATAATTTTTCACTTTTTTTTTAAAAAAAGCTGTGAATATTTTCTATTTCCATATTAATTTATTCCATTTTTAAGGCCATGTGTGTTTGTCAATTATCCAATAAAATTTATAACAATAAATAGTAGATTTGTTTAAGAAATTAAATATTGTAATTTGTAGGATTTGTGTATTTGGTTATTTGGATATGGTTTCATTCAACGTACACTGTCAAGATGTATGAACTTCTATAATCTATGCTTTACCGGGTAGGAATTGATTTTGATTATTTACATAGTTATAAAATCTAATTTAGTAAGTTTCAGGTCAAGATTTGGAATGATTATTTTTTTTAAAAAAATAAAAATTAATAAATTAACAAATAGGTTTTGACTGGATCAAACCCAGATCAATTGGATTAGTAGATTAATTTAAATTTCTAACTAAATTAATCATATTTTTATTTTTATTTTTTATTTAACATAAATTGATTTAACTCTGAGTAAGTATGAATTTTAAAACTGTCAAAGACAAATTTAAACCTTAGTATTGTCATGGAGGAAACAACATAACTGAGTAGTTTGATTACTTTTTCCATTCATAACTTGCAGAGGCAATGGGTGTATATATTTTCAACTTGCGTACAGGGGACAGATTGCTCTACATATAGACTTACAGCTGCGCACATCGTATAATCTCTTTTAGAGGTATACAAAGTGAAGCATTTCAATAAATCTTTCCACGCAAAGCAGCAGAAAAATGCTCTCCCTTTCAAGAAATTATTCAAGTTCGAGAAATTTTGAAACCATTTCCAAAAAATGATGATTACTTTGCCCTTTTTTGCAGAAACTAGGATGTTTTCTAAATAATTGAAAATGGATGTCATTTGCATAGAATTCAGCATGCTTAAGAATGGCAAACAGTACGATTAATTTTCATAGAATATGTATATGGTCTAGTAGTGGAGAGCTTCTGCAAATGTTAGAAGGTCACAAGTTCAAATCCTTTCATATATGGAGCAATTATTTGATAAGAAAATGTTGATGTATATATACATGGTATTAAAAAATACATAAGATCAAAATGGCAAGTGCTTCTCATCATTTTTGGAACAGATCTAATTCAATTTGAAGAGCTGTAGGCGAGGGAAAGATTTTATTAATGTTTTTCAAATTTCCTTAACTAGTTATAAGAGGATTGGGGATTTGACATACGCAGGAATGTCTGTGCTAAGATGACTGAGAAGGAGTTATATCTGATTCTGTCAAGGTCCCTGACTGATCAACATCGAGTTTTCTGAATCTCTCCATCACTAATGAAATATCTTCCTGGCTTATCTTCCCCATCTCCTTCAATGCGTACACAGTGAACTCTGCAGCACTGATCAACAAGCCAAAAATTGGATGCACATACAAATTTTTCAAGGCATTGGTAACGGGACAAGGGCAGGGATAAATTGTGCTATGATCAGCTGTTCCTTACCTTACAGTTTTATCATGATCGATATCTGCTTCCTCGAGATCTGAGGCTGTGACATTTCGAGCAAGAACCCGTTGAACGAGTAATCTTTGCCTCTTTTCAGTGTATAATTCAGCAAGGTAGAGAAAGAATTGAGCTAAGCAAATCGTGCTGCTCAGTATCCAGAAGACAGCAAATACTCGACCAGCCCTGGTTGAGAAGCTATCATCTCCGTATCCAAGAGTAGTGATGGAAGAACAGACACAGTAAAATGCATCAACAAATTCGAAACTCTCAACTAGAAATAAGAAGATGGTTCCAACTATTATGAGGAGAAAGAGAAGGATTAGGGCGAGAAGAAACTTGTACTTGACTTTATGTGTTTCAACCTCTTCTAGGATCTCAGATAAACCAGTTTTTTGATTCATGTGCATTGCTCTAACCAAGAGAATCTCCTGCTTTTCCACGATGTAATCCGCTGCCTTGCTGAGAATTATCCCACCAAGAGCCATGCCTGCAAAAACATAAACGCACGAAAGAAGCTTGGCCAATGTGGTATGAGGCACTAGATCTCCATATCCAACTGTTGTCATTGTCACAACAGAGAAGTAAACAGCATCAACAATCCCATTTGTTTTCTTGCCTTCGATCTGATTCATGACAAGGGAGAAACATAGAGTGCCTGCACCTAGATAGATAGCCAAGACAAGGAACACTTTCTTGAAGCTATAATCTTGATTCTCAAGAAATGATTCAAGCCATTTGAGAGATGAGTTGCCATCCTGCTCAGGATGTTTGATCTCTGTTACATTGACATTCATAGGCTGCCTAAATCTTCTTCTCTGAAGAGCATTCTTTTCATCTGGAAGCAACGACAGCGTCGCATCATCACTGGCCATCAAGAACAAGAAGAATAGAGATGCAAGCCCTTCAAATTATACCCTGCATGGAAACGTAAAACCAATGAATTTTTTCCTGTCTAATTTGAAACTTGCATTCCATAAAGAAATTAACAGAAGGAAAGGAGAAAGATATCAAAGACCATGGGAATTATTGAAGAGGGAAAGTTTTGGATTTACCTCTCAAAACTCTTAAAAAATTGTTGATGTTTCAGACCCCATGTAAATCTTGAAAGATCAATGCAAATTGATAATCACAAAAATCACGCTAATGTTTCCATGTGGCTTAAGTTCTTGCCCGTAATAAAGTCCTGATTTTGGGATTGCAGTTACCAAATCCAGAGGAAGTCAAAACCTGCCATGATCGAAGCGGTAAGTCAAATTCTTGGTCCTTGTTATTTGAAGCAAATCAGTCAGTCATAAGCTGGACAGCATTAATTTAAAACTTTTATTTGACAAGTTTGCCTCGTTTAGAATTAAAAATGTAATAAATTCTTTCCTTCTTCCACAAGTCCAACTCTTAACACACGGAGGCGAGCGCTATACTAAGCTTAGATTAAAAATAATATAAAAAATATTCAAGCCATATAAAGTTATTTGAACTTTTTATTAAGGTTTGTTTTGAAATCTTTTAGCATAACCTCTTGCATAATCTAAATTTAAAAGTAATACATGTGAGAGTTGTTTGAACATTTTATTAAGGTTAATTATGACGTGTTTATTTATGCAATCATGCTGCGATGTTTAAAATAATTATTTTTTTTGAATTTTTTTATATATTAATATAAAAAATAATTTAACATATTTATTTAAAAAAAATTAAAAATGAACAGCTATTAAAAAAAAAAACTATCTTAGCTTCTTTTGCTAAGAATAGCCTTGCACTTAAGAGAGGGTAATAATAAGAGGATGAAATTAGAAAATAAAAATTATTAGACCAAAATAAAATACAATGAAGAATAGAAGGACCAAATGCACCACTAACCATTTTGTTTTAGCTACTGCAAGAAGATGAAACAGAAACACAAGTTAAAGAGCTCTCAAAGTCTCAACGCCGGCTGTCTCTCCCGTCTTCAACGGGTACGCACTGAGATTGTTCTTTTGTTTTTCCTTAAGGTCAGAGAAATTTCATAAAACGGGTAGTTAGTTTAGTGCTTTCTTTTGATTCTTGTTTTTCTTTTCCAGTGAAGGGTTTATGCTGCCAGCTTTCTTAGAAAGGTTTAGAGAGAGTATTTATGTACAATTGAGACAGTTAAAGATTGATAGGTTTTAGTTTTTGAAGTGGAATTAATGACATCTGTGCCGTCGAAAAATATATGGATAAAGAGGCAGCAATGCCCATGTGGGGATTGGAAATGTTATGTTACTTGTGAAGGAGATGTTGAAGAGACATCTGTAGCATCTCAGTTGGAAAAAAATGAAACTTTTCAATCTGATTCAATGGTTTCTCCTTATGTAGGAATGGTGTTTAAGAGTGATGATGATGCGTTCGAGTATTATGGGAATTTTGCTAGGAAAAATGGGTTTTCTATTAGGAAAGAGAGGTCAAGATTGAGCCCTCAATTGGGTATTTATAAACGTGATTTTGTTTGTTATCGTTCGGGGTTTGCGCCGGCTAGGAAGAAGTCGACTGCAGAACACCATAGGGATAGGAAATCAGTGCGGTGTGGATGTGATGCAAAAATGTATTTGTCAAAGGAAGTTGTTGAAGGGGTTTCTCAATGGTTTGTTGTGCAATTTAGCAATGTGCATAATCATGAGCTTTTGGAAGATGATCAAGTGAGGCTCCTTCCAGCTTATCGGAAGATTCAAGAGGCAGATCAGGAGAGGATTCTTTTGCTTTCAAAAGCTGGGTTCCCAATACATCGAATAGTGAAGGTGTTAGAGTTGGAAAAGGGTATTCAAGGTGGGCAATTGCCTTTTCTAGAGAGGGATGTTAGGAATTTTGTTCAAAATCGCAAGAAGATTGTTCAAGAGAATGATGCTTTGCTCACTGAAAAGAGAGAGAATGATAGTATGGAACTTCTTGAGGCGTGCAAAGTTACCAAAGAGATGGATGGAGATTTTGTTTATGATTTCACAACGGATGAGAATGATAAGGTTGAGAACATTGCGTGGTCGTATGGTGACTCTGTTCGTGCATACACGTTGTTTGGTGATGTGGTTTATTTTGACACTAGTTATCGTTCTATCACATATGGCATGCTCTTAGGCGTATGGCTTGGAATTGACAACAATGGGAAGACCATATTCTTTGGCTGTGTTCTGTTGCAGGATGAGACGGCTCGTTCCTTTGCATGGGCTTTGCAGGTTTACTAATTCAATCCCATGAGTTGATTTTATTTCTCTGTGTATTTTTCTCTTGCAATTACCATTTTATGTTTTTATCACAGGCTTTTGTCCATCTTATGAAAGGAAAATGTCCACAAACAATTCTAACTGACCTTGAACTGGGGCTTAAGGATGCTGTTAGAAGGGAATTACCTAGCACCAGACACGCTATATCTATATGGAATATTCAACCCAAGATATCCAGTTGGTTTTTCCTTTCCCTTGGGGCTAGATATCCAGAATTTAAATCGATGTTTGATGATTTGTATCATGCTGAGAATGCAGATGATTTTGAACATAGATGGAGTCAGATGGTTTCTATGTTTGGATTTGGTTCAGATAAACACATTGCTTTACTCTATTCTCTTCGTGCATCCTGGGCATCATCCTATATGAGAGGTTACTTTCTTGCTCGGATGGCGACATCAGCATATTTGAAATCTGTAGAGTCATTTCTGAAAGCAATCTGTTGTGCACAAACATGTTTACGGAGCTTCTTTGAACAGGTATATCAAAGGCATATATTTTTTTGAAACTCTTGAATGGGAAGGTTTTTGTTGAAATTTTTGTCTTGTTGATTTTTTTTTTTGTTGGTACTCTTGTAGGTTGGTAGTTCCTCCAATTTCCAGAACCAGCTACGTCAAGAGATGCAGTACATGCTCACTAAAACATGCATGCCTATTGAAGAGCATGCACGTAATTTTCTTACACCTTTTGCCTTCAATGATTTCCAACATGAATTGGTGCTCTCAATGCAATGTGCTCTGTCTGAAATGCCGGATGGATCATATCTTGTACACCACTACAAAAAGATGGATGTTGAGCGTTTTGTAATATGGATACCAGAAGATGAACAGATTCACTGCACCTGTAAGGAATTTGAGTCTTCAGGGATGTTGTGCAGACACACTCTTCGGGTGTTCATCCTGAAAAACTACTTTCAGCTTCCTGAAAAATATTATCTTAGCAGATGGCGAAGGGAAAGCTCTCTAGTTTTCTATGATAATCAAGATACTCAAACTAATGATGATGGATGGTTTCAAGAATTTCAATCCCTGACTGAAACTCTGTTAACAGAGTCATCAATCACAAAGGAGCGTTCTGATTATGTCCATAGGGAACTGCCAAAGGAACTGAAAAGACTTATCAGTGAGGTTAGAAAAATGCCAGAAAGTGATGGAGTTGCTATGGATTTAACACTTTCACCATCTAGTTAATTTACAGTAGGTGCAAATATGTCTGGTAACTTACCAAGGGGACGGCATGATCATTGGCAGGAAGATGTCTGGGGGTTTTTATTGCTCATTTTCATCAGAAAGAGAATTTTGGAAAGAAGAGCTAACCTGAAGTAGATGTATGAAGTGTTGCTGAGATGCAACAAGTTGACATTGTTTCCTTTGTGAATAACTATGGAAGACTGCAAAAAATATGAATTGGACCGAAATGAACTTAACCAAGGTGATGTACTACATAAATTATCAAAAATGTGTTTTGCTAAACAAAAGAATGACAGTAAAAGAGATTTTTCTTATCGTGTTCTTGGCTTTTTATTTCTTTCTAAGAACCTTAATGTCATTTGCCTAACTGCTTGTTCTTGTCATGAACACATGCTAAAACATTTTCCATGCTTTCTCTTGCTGCGGTCATTTCCAGTTGTGCACAAATGGAATAGGTTGTAGTTTTCAATCTTCTTTCTTTAGTCTCAAAGGGAACAAGATAGAAGGGATGGAAAACAAAAAAAAAAAAAAAGAACAAGAAAAAGAGGCTGCATTTGTAGCTCTTTGTAAATTCTCTCTTCAATTTGGTGATTAATTAAGTAATTCTAGCTGTCTGTAAACCCAATCACATTTGATAGTTTTGTGGCTGATTACTTAACAATCCTTTTTTTAATGTTTTGAAGTCTGCTTGTTAGGAAGTCGACAACTATCTGCCAATATGTGGAAGAGATAGTAGTTTTATTTTTCATCAATTATTGTTTCCTTTATATCAGGCACCATTATACATTGAGAGGTTGTTGTGTATACATTATAATAGATATTCCACTTTTAAGACATAGGCTATCTGATGTTAGGAAAGTCTACTACAAATTTTCCTAACTAACATCATAGGAAAAATGACGATGCTTAAAGTTTACTGGTTGAAATAACTGAATTTCTGCTTATGTTATTAATTCGTAGAAAAAGCATAAAGGACTGATCTGACTGTTGTGTTGTTCATAAACATCTACCCTTATTTGTTCTGTCTTCTGCAGTTGATACCTTTTGTTGTACAATAGGTCGACAGAGTGTTGGTGGTTGTGCCAACAGTTTCTATATAAATTAATATTTATATCTGAAATTGAGAAATGAATACAAGTGTCTGATTATGAGTAGTCACGACTTCCACAAGCAACTGAAATGATATTAATCTATTTATTCCCAAACATAAGAGCATGTGAGCCATGTTACTTTTTGATGGATTTGTTCACCAAGATAACAAAATCTTATTACTTTATGGGTTTTTTCTAATTTTTTAACAAGTGCATGATGGATCGTGTTATCTGCCTGATGTTTGAGAAGGCTCCATTTAATCCCAGAGTTTTATTTCTTGTATTGTTTGATTGTGTTATAATCTATTCAATCTGATGGACAAGGCTTATCTGAGTCGAGTTTAATTGTGGTGATCTATATGATAATTACTATAGGTTTTTAAACAGTTATGAATATGATTCGATATAACTAGGAATTCCAGAGGATGCAATTGTGCTGCTAGCATCAGGTATCCATTTACGCACACATAAATGTACACATGCATCTATGCAGCCAAGTATGTAGGCTATAGAATCTTTGTTGATTTTGAAATCATTGACATCTAGAGCAGCTTGTCATCTTCTTGGCTCCCCATAAACTCATGCCTGGAAGAATTGAAATAATTTTTGGTTTACCAATATGCTTGTTACAATTTTGCCATTTAAATGCCACAAAATTTTGAACCAAATGCTTTAGTTGTTGAGGTGAAGTTTGTCAAAGCTGGTTCATCATAGATGATAATGAACTGTATAATTGTGTTTTTTTGTGGTTCCATTTGCATCACTGCTCTAAAAGTTTTGTGCCCATCGGAGCTTCTGGACAAACTGAAGCATGCAGAAAATTAGGTGTGTTTTTGTGATAGCTAATATTGTTTCTTGGTTTAAGCTTCGACTGTTGCCACCCTTTTTTACATGATATTTTTCCTGTGTGAAACTTTTTTTCTACCTCTCAACCTTTTACTGAAAACATTCATACGCAAAATGCCAAGAACCACAAGTTATAGCTGATTGGTGTGTGCATGATTCACTAGTTTATTGATCTATGGCATGTCCATGTTTGATTTTTTTCCCCTGAAGGATTTTTAAGACTCTGCCTACCATACAAGTGTCCTCAAGTAGGATTTCAAGGATCCACACATTCACATTATTGTACTGATTTTTGTACATTCAGGATCATGCATTCTTTCATTTAAAAAATTGTTTTCTTTAAGAGTGATTGCTAAACTGTTAGACACTAGAATTATTGGCAATAATTTCTCACTTACTGTCTTGTCTTCGTTTGCAGACAGATGGAAAAGGAGTTCTAGTTCCAGTCAATCCAACCCATTCTCTCATTGAGGCCCTTCTAGATTTATCCCCCATGTTGCAGGTATGCATTTGACATGGTTCATTCATTTCAAATCTTTATTCAGGGAGGGGTCCCTCTTGATTAGAAACCGTGGCCATGATGTTTGTCAGGAAAATTAAATAGAGGGAGTAGAAATGAAAGCTGCCGAGTTCTAACCACATAAGCATGCCAACTTTATTGAATGGTCGGTTTCTGTACTGTACCATGTAGTAGATGACAAAAGGGCATTACATTTCTGCTCTTAATTTCATTATATTGTCTTCTTGTTGTAATGCAAATATCAACTCGCCAAACTTCTACCACTGTATAATATTATTGCGTCGTCATATAAAGTTGATAAGATTGCTGATTATTTTCATGAAATATAAGCATAAACACAAGTGACGGACCCTAATCTTTTGTCTTGTTAATGTTATGGGGCCATGAGCACGTGGCGGTTAGCAGCTGCAATTAGGGAACTTTTGGCAGAGAGGAGATGGAAGCACGTGGAAAGTGGTCTGAGGCTCATTTGTTGTCATTTATTTGTCTAATTGGGGGTGCATTAAGAGGATTTTTTTGAAAAAATAAAGGGGTGTGGTATGGATAATTACATGCTTAATAGGCTGATTGAAGGCTCTTTTCTCATTCTGGACAGTTGCATAGGATTTCCAATCTGGGTTTTTTCTCTTACAATTTGGGATAGATTCATATCTTTGCGGGTCATACCTGATATCATTTGATAATCAAAGTCCTATCGATATCAAAGTTTGCTTTTCATTTCTCATGAGATTTTTCTTATCCTTTCTTACATCCTTTGGAATTTGCTGTGCAAGATACATACTCTACTAGCAATCTTACAACATATGTGCTTGAAAGCTTGGTTTGAAATATTTAATATTCAAAATGAAGCCTAACCAATGATAAAAAATAAGCATTAAGCGCTCTCTCTCTATATATATATGGTTTTCATATTTTCATCTAAGGATTGTGGTTGTAAGAAATGACTGGTGTAGAAAAAGTGAAAGTCCCTCTAGTATTTGGTTAAAATTTCCCTGGTAGCCTTTTTATTTCGGTGTTTAGGGTGCTTTTTCGTGGCAGCTTTTTATTACAGCTAGGGCAATGAGTAAAGTAGAACTGCTTTTGATAGAATAGAATGAATCTAAATCTCCCTTTTAACGTAGAGAAAATAAAATATCTGTAGGATTGGATTTAAAGATGGCATTATATTATACCAACATACTTCTAGCTTGGACTGCTGAAAATCTAGAATGTAATGAAGACAGCATTTACCACATATTCCACAACCATTTAGCTTGTTTTGCACCGCCTAGACAACCGACCACAATTTTTAAACAATTTGACAAGCATCAATAATTATATTGAATACCTCAGGCAAGTTATCATATTTTATTTTGTTCACATCACATGCATCTTTTATATGCACATCCTTGTCTTTCTAGTATTTTCCACAGTGCTTGGGAGTCATGAAATCTACCTAAACCCTTTGGAATGGTAGCATCTTCTTGATTCATGCAAAACAAACTTTTTCTTGATTCATGCAAGATAGAAAGGGAAAAAAAATTGAGAGAGAGAGAGAGATTGGACTCATTATTTATTAGCTAATGTGGAGAAGAAGAGACTAGGACCACAGCTGAGTGTACAAGGCCTAGTTATTACAGTACAAGGAAAGAAACAGCTTGTACATGGTGAAAGGGAGGGATTTGAGATCGGGAAGCATTGACAAGGACTAAAAGCTAATGGACATGAAAGCTTTGCCATGAAAAACTATGACTAAAGCTTTAAACAACTGAAAATGCATACATACATATACATAAGGACTAAAAGCTAATGGACATGAAAGCTTTGCCATGAAAAACTATGACTAAAGCTTTAAACAACTGAAAATGCATACATACATATACATATATATATATATATACATATATATATATATATACATAAGGACTAAAAGCTAATGGACATGAAAGCTTTGCCATGAAAAACTATGACTAAAGCTTTAAACAACTGAAAATGCATACATACATATACATAAGGACTAAAAGCTAATGGACATGAAAGCTTTGCCATGAAAAACTATGACTAAAGCTTTAAACAACTGAAAATGCGTACATATATATATAAGGACTAAAAGCTAATGGACATGAAAGCTTTGCCATGAAAAACTATGACTAAAGCTTTAAACAACTGAAAATGCGTACATATATATATAAGGACTAAAAGCTAATGGACATGAAAGCTTTGCCATGAAAAACTATGACTAAAGCTTTAAACAACTAAAAATGCATATGATATATATGGACATGAAAGCTTTGCCATGAAAAACTAATGGACATGAAAGCTTTGCCATGAAAAACTATGACTAAAGCTTTAAACAACTAAAAATGCATATGATATATATGGACATGAAAGCTTTGCCATGAAAAACTATGACTAAAGCTTTAAACAACTATATGATATATATATATATATATATATATATATATGTATGTATTACACTGCAATTAGTTGTTGTTGAGCTTCAATCCTTATTTCTTCTTTCATTTTCCTTATAAATTCCTCAATTCTCCTGTTCAATTCTTCAGTACTTGCCAACTCCTCGTTTCCTTCTTCGTCCTCTTGTTCCACCAAGCACTCTCTTTTTTCTTCTATGCACTCCTCTTCTTCTGTAATCAAAGCTTGACTTGAAGTAGTCTCCTCCTCCTCCTCCTCCTCTTCAGTTGCAAGAACAATATCCTCTAGAGATTCAACACTTGCCACCTGAACTTCTTGATCATCAACAGCAGCCTCAGCTTTGGCAGAAGATAAGGTAGGTGCTGATGATAACTGCCTTTCATCACCAAGATTAGAGTGGTCATCAGAAGCAGGAGTTTTTGAAGAAGAAACTGAACTCTTAGCAAGAATAGCAAGGATTCCATTACAAATGAGAAACATATACTTCCTCTCTAGGTAATGACTAAGAAATGAGAATACACCAGTATGAATATATAAAATCAACGGTTTGGGATACAAAGAAAAGCCTGAAGAGAAGCAAAGAAACAAAGAAAATAAAGAGACCGAGATAAGAAAATGCAAGGTCCTTCTCAAGAAATGGTACTGGTAAGTTTGGTCCTGCATCTTTTAGGTTTCTTCTTGGCCAAAGATGTAGGAGTTTGCTCTCTTGGAAGAGGCAGTAGTCTGAAGGGTATGTGACCTTGGAAGGGAGGGTTAGGGTCTTAGTTTGGTAAGTACTCGAGATGATTTGATTGTTGAATGAAATTGAAGGGTCTCTCCTTATTTATACCAATCTCCAAGCTAGCCCCATTTTTGGTATACCTACAAAAACGACCTTGATGGCATGCGCAGAGGGCACGAAGTGGAACTCTCTAAAAGAATCAGGGGCAGAAGAGAAGAAAAGAAAAGACAAGGTGAGTCAACCTCTCCTGTTTGGTAAATTATAGTTTAAACCCTATAGTTAGGAATGCAAGCACAGATCGGAGAAATGCCTCGATATATAAAAGCAAATTGATGGAAAAAATAATAAAGTGTGAGGACGTTATTGAAGTATAGGGACTAAAATATAGTTTATCATAAGAAGTGCTTTTGCAAGCATCAAATGTAAAGAAATGCAAGAAGATCCTTTGGAAGAAAAAAAGGAGGTGGGGGTGGCTGCTTCTTTGAAGTTTCTAGAGGACACTTACAACAAGGTAGGAACAGTACCATCAAAACTAATTAATCTAGGAAAGCTGTACAGATCTTGACTACTATTATGTGGACCCTATGCTTAAAACTTCTTTTTTTTCACTTCTCCTTTGTATTTTTGGACATGTAATTTGAACTTCAACCATCAAAATTAATTAATCTAGGAAAGCTGTACAGATCCTGACTACTATTATGTGGACCCTATGCTTAATTATTTGAGTTTCCAGTTATAAAATTGTATTTTTTACCTATATGCTCAACATAAAATGAGCTCAAAAAAAAAAAACTTTAAACAATGCATGAGAGTTATTAATAAATTGTTTAAGAGTTTAGTAGTGGTTAATTTTTTTTTTAATATTAATATATTAAAATGCATGAGAGTTATTAATAAATTGTTTAAGAGTTTAGTAGTGGTTAATTTTTTTTTTAATATTAATATATTAAAACTATTTCAAATATAAAAAATATTTTTTAAATATTTTAGGAATGCATCTTTAATTATGTTCCTAAACATTGCCTAATATGTATTTTATTTTCACGGCTAGCTATGTATTTTTTTAAAAAATTAAAAATATTTTATTTAAAAATTATTTTTTAAAATTATTTAGTTTATCTAATATTAAAATAAAAATTAAAAAAAATTATTATTTTAATATATTTTTAAATAAAAAATATTTCAAAAAATAACTACTCAATTGACCACTGGATTCATTATGCACCCAAAAAATAACCATAATGAAACAAGTCATTTGCAGCTTAATTAGTATTATGAATCATGCACGAGCTTTTAATAAGGGCTAATTGCATGGAGTACCTTGTTTGCCTATAGTTTTGGAACCAAGACTCTATGGAGTGTAATTCCATCAGCGGTATCATGGCTCGAAGACTCTTATTTCGAGGAGGGAGAACTTCGACATCGAAAGGAAAGTAGTGAAATGACGAGCAGGATTAGAGATACGAAGAGGAGGCGGCAACACCCTGCATTGGACAGCTCCCTTTACAATGCTCTGTTCCATTTTCCCTGCTCCAATAAAACCCCAACTTGTGTGTCTTTGTTTGTACTGATAAAAATTGTGTCGTCTCCATTTTTGTTCTTGTGGTTGAGTCTCTGATTTGAGGCTAATGTTTACTGAAGTACTGAAGCGGGGACAAGTTACAGGTCTTCTGCTATATGTAAAGCGTGAGTGCAGCCTGTAGAGTTTTGACTTTAGAGTCGTGTTTTCTCGATGGGCTCTCTTCTGAGGCTCCATTGTTATCATCAGGCTTCAATAAAGCTTTAGCAGAAACTAAATTGGTCTTGCACTTTTTCACCCAATTTATAGTGGCCTGATATGA